TGGTGAGATGGTACTTTTGGAGATCGTGTCGCCATGATGAAAAGCTAACTTCTGATTAAATTTTGCCCAGACAAGCCCCGGTGCATAACCCCTACTTTTCTGCACTTTAAATTATATTTGTGCATTAAGTTTTGAAGACTTAAATGAAAACCACTTGCATATATATCTTTATCCCATGAGTCTTACTAGTATGACAGGATCATGTAGATTGCTATGCTACAAGACTCTGGTAGAAGTCGAGTGATTGCCTGTCACTCGTGAGAGAAATGAAATATATTATTGTTATTACTATATTATTATCACCTAAAATATATAAGAATGGTAAAAGAAAAAATGGAGACCGGATAGGGATATGGTTTGGGTATTAGTGGGTGTAAGAGGTTGTGTCCTGCGACCAACGAGGCATAGCTTGGTTACACTGTTTTTCTGTCTGTGTCAGTTAAGGACCAACCATTGCATTGGGTTCTAGGCAAGTCACAGACTTATTATCCTGAGCACATACTTGTATATGGGCACAGGGAAGACTTGTTACTCTTTTGTCATGGGTTCTGGCTCTTTCTGGATCGACTTTCAGGGTGATTTTTGGGTGGAGGTCCTTGCACCGCACTGAGTCCGGGACTCAGAGGTGGGGACTTGGAGTCCAAGTTTGGACGGGGATCTAGACCCCGTGACAGGAGGGTAGTGGGTTGGTCCTGCTTGTGCCTGAGGTACAAGCGAAGCGTGTGTTTTGAGGTACCCAGCTAGGCACATTGATTCGCGAATCGCTAGGTGATCCGGTACGACTTGTCTACAGTCTAGCACCGTTGTAAAAACTGAAAGATGAAAGATGATAAAATGATTCTGATTGCTTACCACCTGCTTGAAAGTAGCACATGTGCTTACATAGAATGGTTAGTTAATGAACTAATGCTGACTGCTAATAAAAATCGAATATAAGAACGTACGCTTAGTAATGCTTCCTGCAGATGCAATAAACCTATAAGCCAGATAATCTTGCATATCCTTAGAGTCTTTTCTTTCCTTCTATCGGATAAGTCTTAATTACAATTGAGTACTCAGGGTTTTATTTTTCCCTGTTGCAGGTGACAGACGAATGCTAGAGCTGACTCTTGTGTGTAGATTCCTCCTGGTGGGTACAGAGGGGATTCCTTTACGCTGCGATCATAGTTTTTATTTATAACTCTCATTAAATGTTTTTATAAATGTAAGTTTCATAATCTGTCGTCATAGTTTATTTATCAATGCTTCATCATGTTATGAATAGTTATTTATTTCCGTTGTAATTCTGATCACATGTTTATATTTCATTGTTAAATTAAATTGTTCATACCTCTGATAATCTGATCGTATTCCGCTATTATAAACAATAAAAATTATACTCTGATGTTGTATTAAAAGTGATGTAAGAAATGGCTAAAATATTGTAAGCTTTATACTCTCATTTGTGATCCTGATGGAAAAATATGGATTTTCGAGTTCTTCCCTTGGGTGTGTTCGACGGAACTGCATAATTTGATGTTCTCCCTTGAGTACTTAGTGTCTAATAGAAGTCGAGTACTCCTGAGAGACATTAGATTAGGCGGTTCTGCCACAGTAAAAGAGGAGAAACAAAGAGAACAACATGCAAATACTACTTGAACAACCTAAATATATCGTAAAACATCTCACGGGTACTATGGGTACTATGTAAATATTTTCTCACCACTACAAAGTGTACATGATTTCTCTCAACTATAAAATATTTATACTATTATAAATCTTATAAGACCATCATAGAACATCAAAAAAATACATCATAGAACATCACATATATATTACGTGAATATTATAAAATATATCATAGAATATCACATATATACGACATGAACTTCAAAAATACAACAAAGAACATCACATATATACTACATGAACATCACAAAATACATCATAGAACATCACATGTATATTACATGAATATTACAAAATATATCATTGAACATCATATGTATATTACACGAACATCACAGAAGACATCATAGAACATCACGTGTATACTACATGAACATCACATGTATTTGAGATAATATAGAAAATGTAAAGTAAAAAATAAAATTATTAAAGTATTTAATTAGTGAAAAATAGCAAAGAAGAGAAAACACACATAAAACATGAATAACAAATGATAAATATATAGAAAAATAACAAATAAATATGTACATGAAAAATAAAATAATTAATGAGAGTAAAATAACAAAGAATATAAAATAAGAAAATGAACAACATATGCTATGAAATATATAGAAAATAATAAATAAATAAATAACAAAATTAGTAAAATATAGACAAAATACAAGGGAAAATAATAAAATAGAAACACTACGTAATAGAGAAAAATAAATAGAAACACCACACAACTACTATGTGAATAAAAGGAGAGAAAAAAGAAAAGGAAAAGGAAAAGGAAAAAGAAATATAAGAAATAAAAAAAGAGAAACTAACGTAACCGCCTACTAGGAGTTAAGAAAAAAACAAGAAGAAGAAAAAAAAGACGCCAACTACCAGCCTATCGAGAGAAGAAAAAAAGAAAGAAAGAAAGAAAGAAACAAACATACGTGCGGGGAACCGGACGTCGCTGCGTTTCTCGCGTTGTCGCTGCGGTGGGCTGTCGCTGCGCTCCGTGGGCCGACACCTGGGTCGTTGGACCGTTTCTGCACTTTCTAACAACGCACTGGACTTCGAGTCGGACCGGAAGATTTCCGGTGTATTGCGGCCCGATCCACGTCGACCGACCGGTCGCCTCCTCCTGCGTCGGGCGTTCGCGACCTCTGCGTCCTCCTTTGGCGCCGCCGCCGCCGCCGCCGGCTCCGAGCCGTCTGCCGCCTCCTCGTCGGTATTCGCGGCCTCATCGCCGGCGTCCGCTGCATCCGAGCCGGCTGTCGCTGCATCCGAGCCGGCCGCCGCTGCATCCGAGCCGGCTGCCGCCGTCCATTGCCTCATCGCCGGCGTCGCCTCGGCGGCCTGCTCTCTTGATCCAGGTTCGAAGTCCTCTCCTCCATGTCCTCCTTCACCTCATCTCATTTTCTTTCCCCTTCTTCCTTCATCCACTTTTTTATTGCTACGGTTCTAGACAGCGTCGGCTTCTACTTCCCCACCAGCGGCTGCTGCTGCTCCTCCTGCTTCTCTCCCACTCCCACCAACGGCGGCTGCTGCTCCAGGTACATCAGTCCTCTCACTTCCGCTCCTGCTAGTGGTCGTGAGTCTCTGAGGTCCTGTCTGATAACAGGGAGAGTGAGAGGTCATTGTCATTTCTTGAATTCTTGATCGATTACGCGAAGGTATACAACACAAAAGATACTATAGCTAGAGTACACATGGAATGTGCATATACTGATATACCGACTGTGTGTATATCCTGATACACGGAGTATGCACACATACTTGGAAATTATATGAGATCCTACACATTCCGAGATAGTATTACCGAAGGTGTATGCGTACATACACATTACCGGAAAGCATGTTTATAGGAGTATGAGTACATACATGTTTGGAGTACAGTAATTATATAAATTTTTTAGAGTATATCGGTAGTTATACATATTTAGTGAGAGTATGCATGCATACGTGTTCAGGAGTATATATATTCTTATACAAATTAGGGTTATTAGATTTTAAAAGAAATTAATTTTGTAGCCAGCTACATGGTAGTAGTTCTTCTCTCTCTCTCTCTCTCTATATATATATATATATATATACACACACACACACACACACACACACACACACACACTATTTCAGGGGCACTCCAAACATTAGTAGTAGTATGAAAATGTCCATACCCAATTGATAATGTACATATATTATTGTTTGAGCGCAAACAAGTATATGTGTACTTCTAAGTAATAATACAAGAAGCTAGTAATCATATGGAATATTTGAATTTGAATTCTTAAAGCGTTTGGCACTAGTCTAATCTCTAAAAAATATACAAGTGAATCATGCAATTTCATCTTGCCGGAGCTTCTTCGATCAAGCCATAGTAGGTTTGAAAGATCTATCCGTCTGAAAATCAATGTTAGATGCAGTCATTTGTCAAGTATGTTATAGGTATCATACCCTAATCTGAAAATAGTATGAGGTGATACTCTTATCTGAAAAGAAAAAAAAATAGTGCGATGACATTGCTGCTGATGTTCTCCTGATGATCGATGTACTATTCTTTGATTAGAGAAATGTAAGAATTATAGGGAGCATCTCGTGAACTATAATGTTTTGCTGGTCAGAAAAGAAATAGTTGCGTGTAAGAGTAATTAATTTGGACATGTAGGCTGTGGCAGATCGGATTCGTTTACCTGATTGGCTGGTGGTTGGTTGCCGTCGTCAGAGAGGAGACGCCTGCCTCGTGTATCAACCGGCAGTCTACTGTAGACAAATTAACCTGCCGCAAAAGCCATGTCACCTGGTGACAATACGAGAGCAGGTTTTCCCTTCCCTTCCCTTGATTTACTCCACTGAGATCACAAACGTTGTCCGCGGCACCTCCTATGACCAGATCAACAAAAACGAAGAAGACATTAATCTTGCCTTGTCAAATAATTACCTTGACTCACTGCATTAATCTTGCCTTGTCAAATAATTACCTTGACTCACTGGGACAGATTTGGAGAGGTTGGTTCTCCACCTGGAGGACGGCCGCAGCCAGTTTCAGTCAAATGGGAGCGGATCCACAAAAATAGCGATATATTGTTTTCTATGGCTGTATGGTTGATCCGATAAAAAAAACCTGTACTCCCTGATCGTTGTCTGTTAGTGCAGGAATCATCAATCAGAGTGCGGAAGTGAGATACCATCAACCATCTGCGGATATAGTTGCAGCAACGAGATTAGGATTATAGGGACAAAAAATCAATTAGAGTAGGATAGTTTCTTTGTGTTATACTTGGATTGCACCAACGGTTCTTGTTAAGATCTCTGATGGTAGCCCAACACCTGCGCCGTGAAGAGCCAGCGAAGATCCAGCCATGGACGTCGCCGCCGCGCGTGTCCTGCGCCTCTTGTGGATGATGCCGCAGATGAACCACCCGACTTTCTTATATTCTCCGTATCAATTAAACGGGTCCGCTTCAATCTGCTAATCAACCAGGCTATGTCATACGTGAGGTTTGGCTCGGCAGGTTAGGGGGAATAGCTACTCCCGGGAGTAGAAAGGAATTTTCCTTTATATAACACACACACACACACACTAGTGTCCAGTATGGATGTACGGATGCAAACTATTTTGGGTGTCTGTTTTAACATGTGAGGATCACCATCATCTATTTGTTCTCTTGTGTCTAGCATTGCAGTATGTTTAGTTCTTCTGTTTGCTGCATGCTTATTAACCAACCAATTCCTTTTCAGTTCCATCTGTGATGTTTCTGAAATAATACCAAGTGTGCTTCTTTAGGAATTCATCTCTTGGCAACCGTATCTACAAGTTGATTAAATGTGCCATGGTTCTTGTGCAGGTCTCTGTTACTACCAATTCCTTTTGGGGCTGAATAGGTAGAGCTTTGCATCTTGGATCTCAAGAACCCTGTTGATATTTGCTACTCCCTCCGTCCAACATAAGAATGCCATTCTCACTTCCCGAGAAGTCAAACATTTCTATCTTTGACCAATTATATATAAAAGAATATTAATATTTATAATGCATAACTAGTATCATTAGATAAACTATGGAATGTGTTTTCATAATAGATTTATTTAGTGATACAAATGTTGCTATATCTTCTATAAAGCTAGTCAAACTTGAGAAAGTTTGACCATCACGCATCCTGTAATGTCTTTTTTTTCGGACGGAGGGAGTACTTCCCATTGAGTCTCTGGTGCCAACATCAACTTCACCTGCAGCTACTTCGCCATAGCCATCCGCTAAGTACAAATCCTAAATCTTGTCCCTGGGTCTAGTAATCGATTTGATTGATAAGTTGTCGAGTTGAGTGGTTAAGGTTCTCTAAATATGATCCCAACTTCAAAACTATGGATGCCTAGTATGGTAGAGAAGTCACTGCTTATGTGATATGTAGGAGGCATCATGTCATTGCGGTGTTACTTTTAAGGTCTTTGTATATTCGTTGAATGTTAGGACAAATCATTAGAAGGCAAGCTGTGATAATAGAAGATGAGTTTTGTTTTTGGCTGTTAAGATAGCCAAGTTGTGATTCTATTTTCTATTTTCATATAAAATATAAGGCTCCGTAATAGTGTTGTTGATAAAATATAAGGCTGTTAAAATATGCAGACTGAACTTGCATTTAGTTTATTTGCAGGCTGCAGATAGCACATATATATGTCCACACATTGCGTTGCATGTATGTATGCATGGAAGCGCAGAATTACGTCTGAATAATTAGCTTTAGTTATTTAGGTGGTCTTGCTGCATTGATCCTCTCTGTTTGCATATGTGCCAAAATGAGAGTACGAGGTATACAGCTTCATTTCTTTATTTTATGTGCCAAAATGAGAGTACGAGGTATACAGCTTCATTTGTTTGTTTCGCGTTGCTCCATTACTGTCATTGGTAGACCCCCTTCTTTTGTCAAAATGAAAAATAGTTTCTACAATTTTTGGCATGATACTGATTCTACTACTTTGCCTAATGCTTCAATTTATGCCAAGCTCCTGCTATGGCAACAACATGACTTTATACTACGAACCAGTCAACAAAGAAAAAAGAAACAACTTACCCAGATCAATCAGCTCATTAACAAATCCCTATATTATGTACAACTCATCTGATAGGGCTTTATTCTTCAGGATCAGTATATATACTAGGTATCTCATCCGCTAGCATTTGATGCTACCGAGTGCATAGTCAATTGGCTATGGAATCTGTGGATTACCGAGTCAGGCGAATACTGTGCATCAGAGTTTTTTTTTCTAGTTTATGTGTTTCTTCTACGGTAGTTTATGTGTTTCTTCTACTAGGTATTATAAATGGGATGTCAGCTTTGCGTGTCTTTTAACCATTGAAAAGCAAATTATTTTCTCAGTGGGTGTGCAATGTTTTCAGGATCATACAATAGTTATCTGACGCAGGCACCACTGCTAAAGCTATATAGCCGGCAGTAAATTCGACCTAACAAAAAGCTCATGGAGCAGTATGCTCAACTTTTAAGGTTCGCAAAGATTGTTAAAAAACAAAAAATAAAAACAGGCATACCATACATGGATTTCAACATGCACAGATTCATACTAGCATTATTCATGAACCTCTGGAATTCCAAGCCCTTTTGCCATGCTTCATGGTACCACAAAGTACATTCGAACGTGCCACGAAAGCAAAGGGGCATGCATCTTTGCCCATCTCGGTTCCACTAACATAGCATCATGCCGACGGGTTGGTTTCCTTAACTATATCATGGAGTGCTTGCTCTTGAAGCTTTAAACTTTACCAAGAAACTCTGAGCAATTAAACACTTTGAATTGAGATGACGAGATATTCACAAGGAAAAAAGTGTCCGAAGGCTGAAGCTGCACTGAACTCGTGCAGAGGGAACGGCAGGGGCAGTGCCATTTCGTTCCTAATTGCAAGGGCGAAATGATAATGTAGCTAACACAAAAGCAAAACAAGGTAAGTAGGCAACCCAGCATGAAACTTTTGGGGGAAAAAAGGTAGTAAAAGAGAGAAAATGGGTCATTTTGCTCAAGAATCCCCTAGAATTTGGACAAATCACAACAAGACCGTGAATAGGACCACGAGAACCACAAAAGAAACGACTAGGCAGTAGTAGACACGGCGAAAAAGAATAAATTTCAAAGGATGCGACGCGAATACGCAAGCCCACACGATGATCCAAATAGAAATTACTTTAGACCAATTGAAATGAAACGGAACAAAAAAAAAGGACGGCTCTTTGTCACCGAAAAAGGATGATTGGAAATGAACCCCCACGGGGGAACAAGGGGCCAGATGGAAGAGCTCAGTTCAGTCAAACCCCTCGGGAATCTGGTTGCGTAGAAGGATTTACTTACCCACGAGAGCACAAGGAATCAGCCTAGGTTCGGATCCATGGCTTCCCCGAGCATTAGAGAAGTGAGGAGTTGCCTCTAGGCGGAAGGAGGCGGGCGTGCACCCCAGCGTCCGAGAGGGAAGGGGAAGGGAAAGGGGATGGGGGAGAGAAAGGGGAAGACGAAGTGGGGTTGATTTGCTAGGGCTGCGGATGCCAGGGGTATTCTTGATATTTTCCCCACCAGAGAAAATCTTTCTTGGTGCTTTTTACAATTTTGCCAGGACTTTTCATTTTAGTCAAAACAGACAGACGCCAGCAGCCGCGTCGTGCAGGGTGACTTCTCTCTCCAAACCGTGACCTCAACTAAACTTCATCTAGTAGGCCGATCTAGTGGCCCATCTCAGCCCAAACATTGCACTCGTCTAGTGTCTTTGATCTTTCCCCCTTGGCCTCCGCCACCGTCTCCACCGAAGCCCTGGACCCATGATGCGCTTGACGCTGTTCGCCTCTCTCCTCGCCATGGCGCTCGCTCCGGCCTCCAGCATCCGCCTCATGACCCAGCGTTCCCATCTAATGTACTCATTTTTTAGAGGTCATTTTGTGTCAAGTTGTCATTTTGTACAAGCTATTGTTTTCCTTGATACATATCAGATATGAGATACTCTTGAGTGCCTTTCTCGAAAAAACCCCACCCAGTGCAGGTTGCAGACTGCGCCATTTGATGGGAACGAGGAGTGGTGAGGCCAGCGATGAGGTGATGGGAACTCTGAGTGGCCAGCGACGAGTTGATGGGAACGCTGGGTCGTGAGGCGGATGCTGGAGGCCGGAGCGAGCGCTGTGGCGAGGAGAGAGGCGGACATCGTCGAGCGCATCAGGGGTTTAGGGCTTCGATGATGGAGACTGTGGCGGAGGCCGGGGGGAAGATCAAAGACGATAGACGAGCGCAATGTTTGGCTGAGATGGGCCACTTGACCGGCCTACTTCATCAGAAGTCGCCCTGTGCGACGCAACTGTTGGCGTTTGTCATCTGTTCCGACTAAAATGAATAGTAGTGGTAAAATTGTGAAAAGCACCAGAGAAGATTTTCTCCGGTGGGGAAAATATCAAGAATACCCCTGGCATCCGCAGCCCTAGCAAATCAACCCCGCTTCGTTTTCCCCTTTCTCTCCCCATCCCCTTTCCCTTCCCTTCCTCCCTAGCCGCCATGGTGCACGTCCGCCTCCTTCCACCTGGAGGAAACCACCTGGAGGAAACTCCTCGCTTCTCTCTATTGCTCGGGGAAGCTGTGGATCCGAACCTGGGCTGATTCCTCCTCGTGCTCTCGTGTGTAAGTAAATCCTTCTACGCAACCAGATTCCCGGGGGGTTCGACTGAATTGAGCTCTTCCATCCGGCCCCTTGTTTCCCCCATGGGGGTTCATTTCCAATCCTCCTTTTTCGGTGACAAAGAGCCGTCCTTTTTTTTTTTGTTTCGTTTCATTTCAATTGGTCTAAAGTAATTTCTATTTGGATCCTTGTGTGGGCTTGTGTATTCACGTCGCATCCTCTGAAGTTTATTCTTTTTCGCTGTGCCTACTACTGCCTAGCCGTTTCTTTTGTGGTTGTTGTCCATGTTCTATTCGTAGTCTTGTTGCGATTTGTTCGAATTCTTGGGGATTCTTGAGCAAAATGCCCCCTTTTCTCTTTTTTACTACCTTTCCCCCCCAAAAGTTCCACGCTGATGAGTTGCCTACTTACCTTGCTTTGCTTTTGTGCTAGTTGTATTATCATTTCACCCTTGCAATTAGGAACGAAATGACATTGCCCCTGCCATTCCCTTTGCACGAGCTTCAGCCTTTGGACACTTTTTTCCTTGTGAATATCTTGGTTGAGTCATCTCAATTCAAAGTGTTTAGTTTCTCAAAGTTTCTTGGTAAATTTTAAAACTTCAAGAGCAAGCACTCCATGATATAGTTAAGGAAACCAGCCCATCGGTGTGATGCTATGTTAGTGGAACCGAGATGCTCAAAGATGCATGCCCCTTTGCTTTCGTGGCACATTCGAATGTACTTTGTGGTAGTGTGGTACCATGAAGCACGGCAAAAGGGCTTAGGAATTCTAGAGGTTCATGAACAATGCTAGTATGAATCTGTCCAGGTTGAAATCCATGTACGGTATGCCTGTTTTATATTTTTTGATTTTTTAACAATCTCTGCGAACATTAAAAGTTGAGCAGATTTTGTTAAAACCTGAACCATCATACTGCTCCGTGAGCTTTTTGTTAGGTTGAATTTACTGCTGGCTATATAGCTAGCTTTAGCAGTGGTGCCTGCGTCAGATAAATGCACATGAACTACCATTTGCAGGTTCAACTCCATGCTTACCAATCATGTGCTCTCTTTACCTAGTAACCGTGTGTTTGTCATTCTATGCCTTTGCCTAGAAAAAAAACTTGTTCCAGGTACCCTAGTCGGAGATGTTTTATGTTGCTAATGGCCTTTGAAATGCTCACAGAATAGCTGTGCACCCTTTGACATAGTGCATTTTCACTGCATCATAAATTACATATGAGAAGTTTTGTAGAAAGTAATTTTCCTTTACATTTCTTATGTTTATTGTAGTTTATTATACTGACCACTGAACAACTCAGGAAGCATGGCCGATGGGGGTATTGTGGTAGCCATTTGCCAATATGGTGGAGAATTCACTTCTGGCCCCAATGGTAATTTGACATACAAAGGAGGCGAGGCACATGCTGTTGATGTTGCTCGTGATATGCCACTGGAGAGCTTCAAGGATGAGGTGTCCAAGGTGTTCCATGTTGATGTGACTGACATGTCATTGAAATACTTCCTTCCAAATAATTACAGAACACTCATCACAATATCATGTGATCGAGATTTACAAAGGATGGTTGATTTTACTACCAGTGCCGCGCAAGTGGAAGTTTTCTTGATTAGTAGAGTAGAAAACAGGTATGTTTTTTTTTTGCACCTTATTGCTTTGTGATTCATATTGAAGAGTCGTCAATGGTTCATGCTTTTCTCGTGCTGAATAACCAGGAGTATTGTTACCTACTCTGGAGCTTCTGCAATTAAGCCTGGCTCTAATGCTCCTGGTGACAAAAGGAAAAGGCCACCTTCCAAAAACAAGTAGGCTGCACTGTGCCTGTTGTTTTTATGTTGTTATCTGCAACCCCTATACTGTTATCATGACATATTCTCTCTTTTAGGGTATCTAAAAGTAACAAGAAGACTCCGACTCCCAGTGCTCCTGGCACTTCAGTCCAACCTAGTGCCAATAATGTGAAACAGCCAAGACCAATTGTTACTGCAAACGATGTCAACAGGTGCAGAATTGATCTTCATATAACTGCTACGGGCCTGTTCGGCAGGACTGAAAAATACTGTTCCGGCTGATTGTTGTGAGAGAAAAATACTGTTCTGGCAGGACGTGAACAATGATTTCGTGAGGGCGAGAACCAGCCAGCCAGCTGGCTTAAAGCCAGCCGAACGGGCTATACATCTTGGCATGCCTTCTTTGTTCTGGGATGTTTCTGATCTTTAAGAAAATGCAGTTCTGCCTTTCATTCTAAAGTGGATAAAAATGTTCTTGTATATTATATATACAAATGGCTCTGGAAGTGGAGGCCCAACCCAGCTCTAAAACGGTATAGGTTAGCTCCAGCTTGACACCAAGACTAATAAAAACAATTGTAGCAGTTCTGACAAGTGTGGGATCAATAACGTCCTACCCAGGGGGCAGTGAACAACCGTGATTTTTTCCCTTCTATAAAACCACCTCATAGAACCTTTGAAATGTTATGCACAATAAGCAATTTTGGTTACATTGAGAAAGATGCATTGGTAACTATCTAATGCATGTTAAGGGAACATGCAGGCAGCTACTTTATCCCCTTTTAATTCCAAGAGTAGCCTCTTCTAGGATCAAAAGAAAATACAATGCCTAGGGAACACACAAGGTATCTACTTTAGCTCCCTTCAATTTGAAGAGTAGCTTATTCCAGAATCAAATGAAAATATGCCTATTTGGATATTAGCATTTCAGTGTGTGCCTTACTTGATAAAGTTCTTGTTTGTGCCAGCAGTGCCACTTTGTGTCAAATGCATGATATTCTGATATCAGAATTTGTAGACTTGAAAGTTCTTTCCCATATGCTGATTTATATTGTATTTTTGGCTATTTTACGGAGCATATGACTGAATAGTTAGCTAAATTTCTGTATCAATGGTCTACATAATATGGTTATGGAGTTACAATGTAGGCATATTTACAACATAGTTCTCCTTTTGTTTTGTTGTTATAACTTGTAACTGCTAAGCAATAGAGTATCATGGGCACAAGGAGCTTCATGTGTTGTTTTGCAGCTGATGCAACATTTTCACTTTCAGATTTTTGTAAGAATGATTTTGTGTATTGACTGCCATAAATATTTCCTAGTTGCTTCTACAACAACAACAACAACAACAACAACAACAACAACAACAACAACAAAGCCTTTAAGTCCCAAACTCCTAGTTGCTTCTATTATAATTAAATCTTTGCCGTCTCAAGTACTCATAGTATGATTCTTATGGGAGCATGGGCTTCATAGTTTGGCAAAATAATGCTAAGTGAAGTTCTGGTCTAGTTTATCTTGAATTTTCAGCCTCATAATACATGCCGTTTTATTGTTTACAGTCTTGTAATGTCTGAACTATTACTTGCTTTGATTAGTCAGCAGTTCTGTTTTGTAACTGTATGCTGTTAATTCTCAGTCGCTATCATCGTATTTCTGAAATTAGGGTTTTCCAACTGGAATTTGGAAGCGATGTTGCCTTTGCCACCCCAGCTGGAGGTGCTTCCACCGTGCCAGGCATTCTGGATCAGCAAAATCTTGCTCTTGTTGATAGTGCACCTCGGTAATTTTGTTGCCATCTAATGTCTTGTACTCCAAAATGTTGTACAAAAAAGAATAGTTTCACAGATGTTGACAACTATTCATGTTTTTTGCAGGGAACCAATTGGCCTTTTTGATGATTCAGGTGACCCATATGTTGGTTCTGAGATCACTGCAGATCCTCAGCATGGACTTGACAATCCTGTTATGTTTTGGGATGACATTATCAAAGGTGTTGGTCAAGAGTTTGATAATGTGAAGGATTTCCGTGCTCAATTGTGCAAATATGCCATTGGGAAAGGATTTGCGTACCGGTTCATTAAAAATGAAACTACTCGTGTCACGGTAAAATGTGTTGCGGAGGGCTGCACGTGGCGATTGCATGCATCCGAGTCATCTCGTAACAAGAAGTTTGTAATCAAGAAAATGACAGATGAGCATACATGTGGAGGAGGAAATGGAGAAGGCCAGCGTCGAGCGACAAGACAATGGCTGACCACCGTTATTAAGGAGAAGCTGCATGATAATCCGATGTTGAAGCCAAAGGACCTTGTCAAGGAAATATATGAACAATATGGAGTTACACTGACCTATTCACAGGTCTGGCGAGGTAAAGAAGTAGCGCAGAAGGAACTGTATCATGCTATCAGGGAGACTTACAGCCATTTGCCCTGGTATTGTGAGAGGCTTACAGAGTCCAACCCAGGAAGTATTGCTTTGTTATCTCCAATGGTGGATACAAAATTCCGTCGCTTTTTTGTTGCATTTCATGCTTCTTTGCATGGTTTTGTAAATGGGTGCAGGCCCCTATTGTTTCTTGATAAGGTTCCACTGAAAGCAACAAATGAGTACAAGTTGCTGGTGGCCGCTGCAGTCGATGCAGATGATGGTGTCTTTCCAGTGGCATTTAGTGTGGTTGAGGATGAAAACTATGAAAGCTGGGTTTGGTTCTTGATGCAGCTGAAATTTCCTATCCAAAATCAGAGCTACGCGTACAATGCCATGACATTCTTGTCCAGTGGACAAAAGGGTCTGGATGCTGCTGTTTCTCAAGTTTTTGGAGATAGCCATCATGCCTTCTGTTTGCATCATATCATGGAGGAATTCAAAGGAGAGCTGAGAAAGGGGCCATGGTCACAACAAATAAGAGAGGGGATGATTGAGGATTTTACTCGTGCTGCTCAAGCGTGTAGTATTGAGGATTTTAATGCGTCCATTGAGAGCATTAGGAATATATCCACTGAAGCTGCTGAGTGGATCATAGCAAGCAAGCCTGAGCATTGGTCCGATGTCATTTTCAGAGGTTGTCGATATGATCATTTCTCCTCAAACATTGTTGATGCCTTCAATAACTGGATACCAACCAAGAAGGAGGGTTCAATTGTGCTGATGATTGACTCATTGAGAACAAAAATAATGGAGATAATAGAAACAAGGCGTGAGGCTTGCAAGGCATGGTCAGGACCTTTGACGCCTTCCATGGAATACAAAGCACAGGAGGAGATGATGAAGGCTGGTAAAATGACTGTTCTGTGCTCTTCTGAAACTGTGTTTGAAGTGCGGGGCAATGCAATTTTTGTCGTTAATCTTGCAAATTGGGAATGCACCTGCCGGAGGTGGCAACTTTCTGGCCTCCCATGCTTGCATGCTATTGCTGTGTTCAACAGGATTGGGCGATCTTTCTATGACTACTGCTCGAAGTTTTTCAGAATAGAGAGCTACCATATGACTTATTCAGGAACGATCTTCCCAATACCTGATATGGATACTGTTGATTTTAGTGCTGGGGCAAATTTAATTCCACCTCCCAAGCCACGAACATCGGATAAACCAAGAAGGAAGCGGTTTAACCCCAACAAGGTCCCCACGGTAATACGGCTCTGCAGCAGGTGCAAGCAAGCAGGCCACAACAAGGCAACTTGTGAAGCTATTTTGTAGACAAAAGTAACTACTGCATCTGGAGTATGTATTTTATAGCAGGTACCTTTACGTTTTAACTTGCTTTAAATTTCCATGCTATATTTTTCCGAAGTAAGATAATCTTTTGAATTATGGAAGTTTTCCTTTTCTTTTCCTCAAAAATGCAGGAGAGCTGCATGTCCTTTTATTAAAGAAAACTTAATTTACAAGTTACAACATACCCACACACCCCGACAGGACCAGAAATACCTTGAACTCACATGCCCAGGACATTTACAACTTTAACTTGACCAGACTAGAGCTTTATGCCCCCCTTAGAGCAAGGGCAAGGAGGTATGAAGTACCTCGAGCTGTTGCCAGATAGCAGAACTTCATCTCCTCTCTAGAGAGTAAAGTCACTTCAGCTAGATTAGGAGAAACTTTGTTAAAAACACTACAGTTTCAGTGGTTCCAAATCAACTAAGCTCCCAAAATAATGATTGAATTGAGACCCTTCAGAACCTGTCCCTCAACACTCCCAGCTACATTGTCCCACGGATTATCGAAATAAGTCTCATCCTGTCATCCTGTTGCGGACAGCACTTGTTGACCAAGCATCAGCAAGAGGTGGAGCCAAACTTGCAGAGCAAAACAATCGGCAATCCAGTATTTCTTTTGTGCGACCAAATACATAAAAAAGTGACATTTTCCAGGAACCTAGGACTTCCATATTTGTTATTAATTCAATCCAGTATATCTTTTGTGTGACCAACTACGTAAAAAAGCGACATTTTCCAGAACCTAGGACTTCCATATTTGTTATTAATTCATCCGACTAATTGCGACTAGTTGGCCTTATCGGTCCCCTGGCACGATTATGACATCCAGACTTGACTACAGCAACTAGAAATCAAGTCGTCCGATCATGTGTCGACTAATTAAGAGTAACGTCCGATTTGGGCATAGACGAGCGATCGCCTGATTAGGCGGATGAAAAAATCGTCATGGGTTGGCATCTGGTATGTTGGCCACTTGGGGCCATCGTTTTTCGGCCCAATAGGGGACTCCTCTGTTCTCTCTCTCACTCTCCCATTCAATTCAGACTGTAGCCACTGCCTACAGAGCTCGAATGGGCGTGAGGTCTTTCTGGCATACCCTACCCAGCCATAGCCGTCTCCTCCCTTCCAAGCTGTGGCAGCATCCTCCCTTCCTGGCCAGGAGCTCACGTGGGGGAAGTCGCCAGTCTGGCTCCCGTCCCCGCCTCAGTCAGGTGTCGCTGACAGGCCTCAGCCTTCAAGCGCCGCCCATGCTGGTTCACACCACCTGCTTCAAGGGATTTCGAAGATGAGCTTGTACCTACTCCATCTTCACTTCTTGCTCTTACCTCCTAGCTCTTCTTGCTCCCAGCTCCTCCTCTGATGTGCTCTGTTTTTATCTCTATTTAGCTGCTTTTTGCTCTGGAGTTTCGGACACTTCACAAATTGGATCTCACAAGTTACCAACTGACCATCCATGCTGTCTTAATTCTTTCTTTATATAGCCCTTATACTACGTACTATAGTATATCGATCCTGCCACATACAAACAGACGACTAGGGTTGACTAGATTTGACTAATTGAGTTGATAGATGACTAATCACGACTATTCGTCAATATAGCACCTTGAAAGAGATCCTTAGGAAGAATTAGCACTTTAGCAGAGTTTGTCCCAGTGGCACAGAGGAGCCAAATATGAAAATCCATGATCTCTGGCTGTAAAATCACATGCAAGAGGAGATCCAAAGCAATGTTATTAAATCGGCTAATCGTCGCTAATCGCCCTGGTACCGATCAGGACGATTAGTTGATGATCAGGACGATTAATCGACCTCTTATCGGTCTAGTCGTCCATATAATCGTCCTGTATATAGCAGGACATATATCATATATGTATGGTATATATACCATATACTATATATTATATACCATATACTATACATATATCATATATCCTTGTGGCCTGCACTCCTGCAACCTTCCCTTGACCCTGCAGCAGGAGGGAGGAGGAAGCAGCGGGGAAGCTTGGAACCGGAAGGGAGGGAGAGGGAGGAGAGAGTGACTGAGTGAGGATGGAGGAGGGGAAGAGATGCAGCTGGCCAGCTGCACAGACAGCAAGTGCAACCGACGGCTGGAGGCTGGGGGTAAGGACTGAGGAGGTGAGGGAAAGAGTGGGGGAGAGGTATAAAAGAGAAACCCTAATGGGCCTGGCCCAAACAGAGCTAGCCCAGTCTGAAGCAGCCCATCTGCCTATTTGGTGCCTGATCGGTCAGGACACCTAATTGGATGATTTATCGCGATTAATCGACGATAAATCGGACAATCAGGTTTCTGATTGCTCTGATCGAATCAGAGTGCCTAATCGAGTGCTAGGTACCGATAAGGACGATTAATCACGATTAATCGGATGATTTGATAACATTGATCCAAAGCTCTACTCGGCAACGGCACTAAAAGACAGGGCTGCATGCCATTTCATTAAGAAGAGAATAAAAACAGCGAAGGAGGGGCAGAGCCTGCTCCCCCAATTAACCAATTACAGGACTCTTAGCGCCACACACTATGCAAAACAGACGACCACTGCCGAAAAAAACGCCTAAACAGCTATAGGCAGCAACCTACTAAGAAGCTGTTGCAGAGCCTTAGCTCCAGCCCAACACCACAACAAACACTTTTCAGAAACTACAGCTAAAACTCTTTGAACACAAGGACTAGCACCCTCAAAGACACAAGCCTTCCTATGCTTCCACAACTCCCAAGCAACCAGAATGATGAGTGAATTCAGCCCTTTTCGTATCTCTGTTGGAACAGCCTTTGATTGTTTTGCACCACCAGCTAGAAAAATGGGAATCCTCTAGCTTCGGTGCAAGGGGAAGCAAGCCAACACATGAAAGATAGCTGTCCAAACCTGCCTTGCAAAAACACAAGCAACCAGGGTATGCTGTATTGTTTCATCAGCTTGATCACATAGGGGGCAAACAAACGGGTGAGGAAATCCTCTTTTTGCAAGGCGGTCAGCTGTCCAACAGCGGCCCTTAATGGCCAACCAAATAAAGAATTTGCAACGGAGAGGGGCCCAAGATTTCCAAACCCGCTTCCAAGGTGCAAAAATGATGGTCCCAGTAAAAAATGCCTCGTAAGCTGATTTGTTCGAATAAGAACCAGACCTCGTAAGCCGCCACTGATGATGATCGGGGATGTCTTAGTCCTAGATTTGCAGGTACTCCACCAGGACCTCTACTGTTAGAGACCCCTTGATGTCCGACACCCATCTGTTATGCAAAGCTCAAGCCACCGTTCGTTGCCATATCAGTCTAGAAAAGTGTTCTTGCCCCACCACGATTTCCATGAAGAAAAATGACCTGACAGAACGGTGAATTTAAATAAGGACGCCATGGGCGGTCGGGCTCATGGAGGTCCTAGCCCAAATTCTGGAGATTAGAAATGTGGAGTTGGCAAACTCCGGTGGCAAGCAGTGTCCTTTGCATTTTTTCTGCCCTTTCCATAAAAACCCTCTTCGAAATTATCTATTACCTTGATAATCCATGGTGGGAGGTCCATTGCCATGGTTAAATTGAATATACTAGGATGGAATTCACCATGAATCGAACAAGAATTTTCCTCCCAACCCTTCTTAAGAGGCCAGCCTTCCACATACCACATCCCTGGAAGCTGACCCACAATCTGATAAATAATTGGCTGGAAGGTGTTCTTGTGTCGTTGTAATCACAATCTCTGTGCACTGTATTGGAAACACACTACCTTTCTACATATTAGTCATTTAGTCTTCAGACCAGTAGCTTCATCAAAAAGATGGACGAGTTCCAAAGTTATCTCAATATCACTTGCTGAGGAACGTAGAAAAAGGACTACATTGTTTGTCAGCATAAAGCGATATTCGATGTGGCTACATGAGACCCACAGTGGAAGCTTTTGTCAGTTTTCTGTGTTATTGGTGGACATCTTATATGTAAATTTAACTCTGCATGAGGTGTAGACTGTAGAAGGATTTTGTTTCATCAAACTTTCGTCTTTGGTTTGCCATCCATATCAGTGTCATTATCTTTTGTGTATAAAAGAATTTTCTCTAGAAGTTGACAGTGAGCAAAGTCATTCTAGTGCAGATTAGGTGTTTGGAGGACATGAACAACATGAACAGAATTTTCTTAGGAATAACTATATTTATCATCACTGTGCGATATGCTTTTGACAGCAGATGCATCTTGTGTGCCACTATGTATATTTGCAACAGCAAAATGCAGTTTTCTGACAACACTTGTTTCCTCTGCTCACACTTTCACTTTTCTTGCCACTCCACACATTGTATTTGGAGTATTCTTGAGTGATTATTTTTTTTGTTACGTTATTGGGACTGGATGCATTTTGACTGCTTGCTGTATCTGCTGTTTAACTTCTATGTTTTTTCTCCATTTCAGTGTAAAGGGTCTGAAGTTTTTGCTCGAGCCTAACTGGTGCTGCCTGCTATCTGTAGTTTCTTGTCTGGAAAGGGGAGATGGGGTGTCAGGCATACATATGATTCCCTGTCTGTGGGAGCTGTAACTTAAATCTCTAGGTAGTCCGTAGTTTAATCGTTTAGAATGAACCCGTAGATGTTTATTCTCATTTATATCGATCTTCGCACATGCCAATGCCATTACTGGTGGCTTTTGTAACAGTTCCATTTGTACAGCTTTGTTTATGTGTGCTCCTCTGAACTCTCAGATAGATGCTGCCAGTCAGTGGTGCAAATATTATGGATATTTTCCAAACGGACTGAAGAGGTGGCAATTAAAAAATCATATCAACCTAATCTGCCATCTTGAGAAGTGAGAACTAACTGTAAAGTGTTCATTATTTTTGCAAGGGGCTAAACAATTTCGTCATATCCCAGCACATTAGTATTCAATAGTTTAAGGAAGCAACAATTCATGATGCCTTTGCTCAGTTGATTTTAAATTTCATAATCAGATGATAATTCTCCCTTCAGTATATAATTTCAAAGA